ATTTGTGCTGATAACGTTTATTTAATATTTAATTGATTTTATGCCCAAGCGATTTTTCCATTAGCCTGGCACACAACAAAACCCAATTCCAATCGATGTTCGCCTACCTGAACAGACGCTTGCCACACATTGTTGTTGTCCTCCTCCTCCCAGTGTGTGTGCGAGTTTGCGGCAGGCTTATCTGATTATCCTGTTGCTTGACATAATTAATGAATGAATGAATAATGGCATCCTGCATAGTGAATACCAAATTGAAGCTGTTGCATGCCGCAAAACCCACTCAAAAAAAACCGCGCTCTAGTTTAGAAAATCGCATTAAAATGAAACTCTCCTTGAAAACTAGATAGTTTTTCGTTATAATAATTAGAAATGTTTGCCCTAAGTCGGCAAGTGTTTTCTATAATTAAGAAATGCATTACTCAAAAGTAGATGATTTTTTTTCGGTGTACAAAAGAACATCAATAAAGTATTACGCAATTTTCACAACCAGCTTTAGTTCAGATTAGTCCAGGCCAGCAACAATTAATAAAGTCTAAAGCAGTCAACAGTTTAAATCTCAGGCAGCTTAAGCGCTGACTAGGTTGAGCTGCATCCAACGGTTTTTGCTACCGCAATTTCAATATTGCTATTTGCCTAGCACCGTTATCAATAGCATGCAGGAGGCAATGCCCCACGTGAATGGTGCGTGTCGTAGACCACAGGAACCACTAGAGAAGCGTCATGCAATAACATCATCATCATCACCACCACTACCAGCATCATCAGCTTTTGTCATCATTTAAATTGCTGTACTGGGCCAGCATAACGTATACGCAATGTGCGCTCTTTGTAAATCGTGTACGGATTTTTCTGTGCAATCCTTTAAAGCGTGTTGCAAGAAGAGCAGTTGCGGAAGCGTAGGAGGAGCAGCATCAGCATCAGCAGCAGCTCGTAAGCCGCAGCCTTCCTGGAGTTTTTAGGCAAAAGTTTATTACCCAAAGGAGCAAACGGAAGCAACCCATAAATATATCATGAAATCAAAAACTTTGCCACAACTTTTGCCGGAGCTCTTTGACAGAGCGTGTTCCCTTTGATTGGTGGTGTGCCACCCACTTCAATGCCCTAGCTCTTTGCCAATCTTTTTGGCTTGCGTGTAAACGTGCTGCTGAGCAACAGCAACAACAACGACAACAACAACTATACAAAAGCTGAGTAATGCGCTTCCGTTTCCGTCTTTACCCATTTCTTGCCCGGCTCCACATGACGCTGTGGCTGAGCAGTCCTTGCCTGGCTGACTGGCTGGCTGGATGCCTGGCTGGATGCTTGGCTGCCTTTGGAACCACTCAATTCAATAAAAGTTGTGTCCATTTAATTTAAAATTCTCTCTCTCTCTCCCTCTCTTTCACTGACTATCGCCCACTTGCTCTCCCTTTCTCAACTGGTGCTGTGCGTCCTTTGCAAATTAATGGCGTTAAAATTAGTGCCCGTAGACAAAATTCAGCACTTGGCACCTGGCCGCCACCTGCTCGCTGGTATTCATGCCCCAAAAGTTTACCTTTTTTTCTTGTTGTTGTTGTTTTTTTTTTTGTGTTAGCCAGTTTATTTGGTTGTCACTTTGTGGAAAATTATGCTGCCACCCCGAGGGAGCTGTGCGTTGTTGCCTGCCTCTGTGGCGGCGACACGTGTAACTGTAACTCTAAGTGGCTGGGCAACCTTTCGCAAAAGTTTTTCATTGAGCCATCTTAAAGTTGGACAATTTCCTTTCTATTTTTTTTTCTCCACATTTTCAACATTTTACTCAACTAGAATTTTTCTGTTTTTTTCTTTCTGTTTGCCTTTCAGCTTTTGGCAGTCAGCAACGTCGTTTTTTTGGCATTCTACGCGCCGGCAAACGTAAAGACGGTAAGTTATACAGTTTGTATATATATATATATATCAGCACCCTAATGAAACCAATTAGGCAAACAGACTGGCTGTTGAAATTGTGGCAGTGAGCATCGAAAATGAAATATCAAAGAAAGCAGGTCCAGACAAGGGGTAAACAAGCTAACAGCACACAATTCAATTACAAAATGTTGCATAGAACGTGGCATCAATTCAAATGCAATGAATTTCAAATGCCCTGTAAGAGAATTTGAACAGCATGTCACAAAATTGGCAATATTCCAACTCATCTATGATTGATTAAAATCAAATCAAAAGGGTTTCATGTTTATCTCTCAAATAATATCAATACTCGAAATATGATAAGAAATGGATTTAAATTGATATTTGAAATGCCTTAGCTTCGCAAAAAATATTCACAAAATTGAAAGAATTCCAGCACAAATTCATCATCCTAAGTGGATTCAAGTGATTACCCATTTAAGTAGTCTAATATGCTTCCCAAAAGGCCGTTTACCTGTCCAGGGTAAATCAATTTTGAGCAGTCTATGGAAATGTGCCAGTTTCGAGGCATATTTGCCTGAGTCGAGGGTCAGCCAGCGAGATGGGGCATAGGGCATGTGGCATGTGGCAGAGGAAGGCTGAACACAAAAGCCATTTACCAAAATCAATAGATTTATTTTGGACCGCAGGCTAGAAGGGCATGAATGAGAGAATCGTAGGCCAAACAACTAGCAATGGTCAGGACGCAAATTGGGTTTTAGCAGCTCAAAGATACTTTTTGTATAACAAGTAAATGCAGTCTCTCTTTCTTTTTCTTTTTCTTTTTCTCGTTCTCGTTTTCTCTCCATCTCTCTCTGTCTCTCTCTCGCTGTAAGCTGGCAACTTGAATTGGTCAAATTGTTGAGCGCTTTGTGGCCGTCAGTCTATATGCAAATATGTGTGCTCAAAGGCTTAACAATTTTTAATAACTGTTCCCAATGATGGACAAAGCCCAATGCTCAACTCAACTCATCGTCTCGTCTCCGTCTGTGTCTCCTTCTCCGTTCCTGTCTCTGAGCCTTTCCACGTGCCAAACACCACCAGTGGATTATCGCCGTTCGCCGTTCGCCGTTCGTTGTTTGCCGTTCTTTGAGTGCCAGCAGCAGATGGTTGGCCTTAAACATCATTATCCGGCTAAATGTCTTTAAATAGCCCACATTCATATCAATTGGCCAACTGGCGCCTGCCGTTCGTCTGCCACTCTCGCAGCTCTCTGCTCTCGGCCCACCCGCGGGGCCAGTCTTGCTTGCTTGCCTGTTTGCCTGCTTGCCTGCCTGCCCGCCTGGCTGGCTGGCTGCCCGGCCAGGCAGACGCATTCATCCTTCTCCTGTGACACCCTGTCGCCTTCAATTAAACGCAAATTATTCTGGCTGGTGCCCAGCATGCGGCACCTGTCTCCCAAGCTGTGAGTGATCAATCCAACTTATGTCTGATACAGCAGCCTTACCAGCAGCGGCTGGCTGCTCCACTTCAAATTAAGCGACTCGCTGCTCGGGCGCCTGCTGACATTTGAAATTGATTATGGGTCATGTCCAGCGGCAGCAGCGCAGCACCAGCTTCCTTATACAGTAGCCCAAACGTCAAGCAGCCAACTCAAATAATGTTACATCATCAAAAGGATTAGCAAACGCACACATTGACTTAATACTTGCTCATTATCCGCTAGATCCATTAAAAATGGGTAATAAGGGCATAATGAAGTTATGTAAAGGTATGCAACACGAACAATGAACCATTTACATTTACAGCTCCATAAAGTATATATGCTTGATGGAGATAAACTGGTTACTCCATATTGCCATGACCATGGCTGTCTGTCTATCTGTTCGTCTTTCTAGCTGTTTGTCTGCCTCTCTGTCGGTCTGCCTGTGTCTGTCTCTGCGAACAGAGACTGTAAAAACATAAATTCTCGTATATAACGCGCAGATCATGCATATATATATTTTATTTTTAATTTCTCCCGTTAAATAAAAACACAATTTTAAGGCGTAGCTCTCCAATTGATAGATAATATTCCCCAACTTATTGTTGATCAACTGTGCGTGCTTTATTTTTTATTATTTTACTCTACCTGTACCGACTATAAGAAATGAGAGCACTTCCACATCTGCTCACATTTGGGTCTGCAAATCTTTTTAATGGAATAATACATTTAATAGTTGGATTCAGGGTGTCTCGCAGTTGTGTTAACTCCACTTTAGCATGTTTACTGTAAGTTCTTAGCAAGTTTATACTATGGTGTGCATTTTTCTATAATCTAAAACTCAGTTAAAAGCCAATCGAACAAGAATTTAACTTCCAACCATAGTCAGTATAAAGTTGTAATATATATATATTAAACTTGATATATAAGGTATGTGAAATACCATTTTGTTTAGCAGTCAATCGTTGTATTATGATATGGCCATTAATCCAAGTGCACTTTCCATTTCCCTTAAGCCCTTTCTTCGATCCTCTATCGTATTATTAAATGTATGCCATTTCATATTCCCAATCATCTTCCACATGGAAATATATTCCGCTTTGAATTCAATTCATATGCATTCCATTGTCTTTTGATACTTTTAATTGTGCACTAAAATATGCCACAGAGTCTCCAGCAGCCGAAGTCAAGAGCTATGCAAATGTTGCAAGTTAAGGTTCAAGTGTGCGACTGGTTGCAATCATGAGTGCCTGCCACCCTTCGGCTCCTCCCCTGTTTCTAGCCACAACAAACACAATGCGGATTCGGTAGGCAGCGAAGAAATGCAAGCAAAGCAAAGGAAAGGCAAGGAAAGGAAAGAGGCACAAAAGAAGCAGAGACGCCACCAAATCCGATTCGCTTTTCGATTTCAACTGGCGACTACGACGACTACAAGAGACAACTTCATTGTCGGAATTTTTTAGCATTTGCCAGACGAAGTCTGAGCCGCCGCCGACAAGGCGCTGAACCTGGTCGGGGATGTCGACATGGCTTCAACAATTTTGTAATTACTTTCGAGCCGCATGCAAATGCAGTTGCCAGTTGTGATAGTTGGTAGCTGGTAGCTGGGAGTGTGGGGGCATCTGGAATTTTATAATTAATCGACAACGGTTTCAAGACGAGACTTTATTCTTCACAGCCAAGCATCCCTGACATCAATGAATTCATCCCGCTCCTCCGCATAGTCACTGGACTCTGCTTCCTCCTGGTCGTGGCGTGCATAGTGATTGAACACCATGTCCCGATGTCCCATTGACGATGGCATCACCTTGCCACTCTCACAGCCATGCCGGTCCTCATACGTGATCTCGCCCATTCCCCCCATTCCATGACTGTGACTCTGACCGTGACCATGCCCGCCACCGTAACCGTGACTCTGACTATGTCCGCCATGTCCCATTCCGCTCCCGCCTTCGCCTGAGAAGCCTACCAGCTTATAAATAGTTTGCTTGACACCACCGCCACTGCTGCCAGAGCCGTGGAGCACCTTGTAGACGGTGTGGGTGTGATGATGGGTCTTCATCTTGACGGGCACGTGGATGACAAGTCGGCGACTGGAGATGCGACGCGCTTGCAGCATTGTTGCCATCAGCAACAGCAAAGCAAACACATTGCTCGCCTTCCCCGGCTGCGCGGAGAGCTGTGCGAGAAACATAGAGAGACAGAGATTAGAATAGGCCCAGATTTGACATTGAAATAATGAGTTATTTATAGATAATCCATTTACATTCAGAACGAAATTGTCCCAAAAAATTAGAAAGTTTATTCTTGTTTTTAGATATAATTTGTAAGAAGAAGAAAACACTTTTCTTAATATTAGAAAGTCATCTTAAAAGTAGAAATGCAAACCCTGATTCTTAGATGATCCTTTCCCAAGTCTCATGAGAGGCTATTTTAAAGTTTGAAAGCAACAACTTGGAAATTGGAAATATTCCTTTGAAATTTTAGATAATTGTACTCTAAAATTTAAAAAAACACCCGCTTTAGAAAGATACTTTCTGAATAACTCTTGGTGTCAAAAGCATGGCGAATTTCTAAAATTCAAATAGTGTTTTTCTTTGACATTTAAAAAGTATGTTGTTAATAGATAATCCATTTTGTCAGTGTTTGTCACTTATCACACAGCTAACAGGAAATCCCTTCAGATTTGTATAAGTAGTGTCTATATATTTATATATTTATATTTAGTTTTCCGCTGATTGACTTTAAACACATTTTACTTCATTCATTTAGTGCTCATTCACTTCACTCAGTAGCCTATTCACTTGGCACTCACTTGTGACATTTTCTGGTGCTTTTTTTATTATATATTTTTTATTAATTGATGTTTAATCCTTGATTTAATGCTGCCGCTTGTGGCACGTTCGCTTTTCACACTGTTTCAGCGGGCTGGCTGCTCGGGTGCTTTTATATATCGGCTGTGGTTTGGGGCAGGTTCAGTGCACTGTGCTGCAGTATGCGGCATGTGGCGCTGTTTAAATTACTATTTGTGAGTGCCGATTGCATTTGCAGCAGCGGCACCTGCAGCTTCCAATGCTTTGCATGCTTGCCACATTTGCATTGGGAGTCGCGACGCCGCGTTACGTGTGTTTAATTATGATTAAGTTGCTGTTGCCGCGCTTGTTCAAACTTCGGCGGGGTGCATGGCCACAGGGGAAGTAGGGGGCGTGGCTGTTGCTATTACTGCTCACTCGTGCGCCTCCAACAAGTGGCAACAATTTGCAGCAGAGCTGCTCGCTGCACGCCCTTGCCACAAATGCAAAACGGAAGCAGTCTCCACCAGGCGCTATCCCAAGGCCCATAAACAAATGCTAATCACTCAAGCAAACCAACTAATCCAATCCGATAGCAAATGATATCTCACATGGAATCCTCCTCCCCCATCCCACCACACTCCCCTCGATAATTGTTAACGCGATAATTATGGCAATAATTGCGCGAAATGCGGAAGCGACACAGTTTCACATTTTTAATCATTATTATAACTATGATTATGAATAATCACGTATGACGGCATATGTCTTTGACTTATATCACTATCATCAATGCTTACACACAAGACTGGTCTTAATGGCTTCATTTCTGAAGCGTTTATTAAGTTGAATAATAATAATAATAATCCAAGAGCAAACTCATCTATTAAGATTGGCTTGACTTATGTAAAATTTGTTCAACAAAATACGAATGTAGACTCTGAGATGGGCTGTTGACCACGATACTTTATATTTCAAGTGGTCAACAATGATTTCTCCTGCCTTTAACATAGTTTTAGCCAAATTCATTAAACCCTTTTTACCCTTGGATGGTTAAGGGTAGGAAAAGTTGTGTCTCTTGAACATTACAGGACAAATTTATGGCAGCTTGCAATTAAATGACGTAGAATAGAAATGTCTTATTTGGTTAATTTCTAGTCGTATCATGACTCTGCCCCATAATATATATATTTATGTATATATATGTATGTATTAGACGCTTCCAAACACAAAAAGTCTCATTAAATCAGCTAAGGCACATTCACATGCGCTGTTTTTATGTGCATTTAATAACTTGGCCTGGCTGTGCAACCATAAAAGTGAGCACACACACACACACACACACGCACACTATTACATATATTCTCATACATATCCTTTTACACAAAATCCCAGCTAATGAAACGTGGCCGCCCTTCGAAAGTTCTTCTTTTTTTCGGGGCCAGATAAACTGCAGCACTTGGCGATAAGTAAACTTGAAATGCGCTCTCTTCTGAATGTGCCCCATGAATTCTATAACTTTATGGCAATGAGCCACTCTAATTGTCGAAAGTGGGGGAGTGGGGGAGGGTCCTTGTGCCTGCCTCAATGCCAAAAATGTTTTGCCGGGGCGTAGTTATAATTTTGATCAACTTTTATGTCCATCTGTGAGGGAGGGGGCAGATGAGGCGTGATACGAAGGTGAATGCTGCATGTGGCAGCTAACAGCTGCACGAGTTGTGAGTTTGTTGTTGTTTGCCTGTTGTTGTTGATGTTGTTGTTGCTGCTTTTGTGCCTAGTCATAAACTGCATGCGAAATTGCCAAAAAGCACACACAGCTAGGATGCCAGGCAGGCGAAAAGTTGCTCATTTACGGCGACGCGAAGTATTCGCCGAGAGAGGGGGAAGGAAGGGAGGGGTGCGATGCGGGTTGCCAATAAAACGAGGCGCTGACAAGCCACACCAGCAGAGCAGCTAGAAGTCCCCCACAAAAAGCTCCCTAACCCGGCCGTAAATCGTTGAGCTGCGCTGGTTTTTACTAGCCACCCAAACTTGGGCTCTATTTCCAACTAAAACTTCCGCAACTGCCACGCCCCTCCCCCCTCAGGCGCCACCGCCTCTTAAGTAAAGTCGTAAATTCGAGGAAATTACAACACGAGAATCCCACGCGGAGCAAGGACAGCAAGGACTCTAAATTAAATAAAAATGCCGGACTTGGGCTTCAGCTTTGTGGGTGGGGGCTGGGTCAAAAGTTTCAACACCTGTTGGCCAGTTAACAGGGGGCGGGGCGGGGCACAAAGGCAATCAAGTTGGCGTTAATTAAAGCTATAACACAAGCATCCACAAGACTGTGCAACCAGGTGGCCCGGTCGCTCCAATGGATTAGGAGACGTGCGCAGATTTGTGGGTGGGTTTGGAGGAACAACTTTTTGCCCTGCGCTTCAGATTTATGCCAAACTAAAGCACTTGATGGCATAGTAGTTGGCATTTAATGGCTCCATTATTGGAGTTTCGCAAACTGCCGTAACAAATGCGATACGCTCCACACTCCACACTCCACGTTGCATGCCCCACCAAGCTACACGACAGGCTGAAGATGACTGGCAAATGGGCACAAAGTGGCAAGCTAACTGGTCCATAAGTTGCAAGGAATGGAAACAATTGCATTTGAAATTATTATTGTAAGCTTTGGCCTGATGTTTGTAGTGCATTGAAAGAAAAAATATATATATATATATTCTTGATCAGCAATTTAATTCCGATCTAGAAAGTTATGTGGTCTTTGGCCTTTATTTTTGTTAATTTATTATCATAAACTAAAACCGGAAATGGAGCCGAGTTTGACCGACTGAAATTCCAAATTGCGTTGCTATTTACAGTAATCGCAGTCATATAGATTATTATATAGCATGTTTATATAAGAAGCGATTACTGGCAATAAAAAACGCTTACGCTGAAAGACGTTATTTGCATGAGTAGCGTTATAAATATTATTCCAAGTGATTTTTTAACCCAGCCCAAGTATTGTTGGCAAAAACCTCAGACCTCAGAACTCAGACTTACTCGCATTATACCCAGAAGCTACAACAGTTTTATCATGTTTCTCATCTCGGCTAGAGACTTTAGCATTTCGCAAGTCTTGAAAAGTTCGCAACGCTGCCTGCAGTCAGAAATTGTTTGTGCACATCAGTTGGCCATCAAAGCCACCTGCGTTTTTGGCCTGGCCCACATGGCCCACCCAACAGAGAGTTAGCCAACCAGCAATAACAACAACAACAACAACCAGGCTGGTCTCTATGGAATAATCTTGAAAGCGTGCCGTGAATTCTGTCTTAAAGTACTTTTTTTTTTGTTTTTCTTTTCTTTTTTTTCATTTTTTTTTTGTGGCCTGAAGGTGCGCAGGCAATAAATTTCGATTACATAATTTGTAAATTGTTATAACCCGGTGAAATTACCATGAAATCTTTCACAAAAGCATTACAAAATCTGCCACTTGACGCATCTCGAAGGCGGCAACCAGTTTCAGCCCCTCCTCCACCTTTTCTGCTCTGGGCCTGCTTCATAAAGTTTTATGGTGTTTGACTGTTGCTTCTAACAACAATGCGCGTTTGGTTTCGCCGAGTTAGCCATGAAGAGGAGGCATCAGAAAAAAAGAAGAAGAAAAGAAGAAGAAAAAAGAATCTCTGCACTTCCTACTTGGGTGGGCTGAAAGTTTTAGGGGGCGTGGCTCACGTTACGCATCGTTGCCATAGATGATTTTTGTTTTTTGTGCTTGCAATAATGCGCCGATTAGGTTTTATTCCAAGGCATTTCAGATTCAAATTTCAAATTCGAAATTCCACTCCTAATTATCGATGGCACGCCCCGATTGGCAAATTGAAAGACACAAAACCAGAGCCCAGCTGCTGCTCCTGCTGTCCTTGTGTCCTTGTGTTATCTAGCGCCTTTTATCATTGGCACTTGGTTTGGCGTGGCCCGGTCTCGCCTCTCGCCCATAAATCAACAGCCAATTACAATAAAAATTTATCATGCACAATAAAAAATGCGTCCATGAAGACGCTGAAATAATTTACATGGCGCATTTTTCACATTTTTCTCAGATCGTTTGGAATTGGAATTTATAACAATGTCCCCAAAGGGAGTTCTTCTTCTTCTTCTTTTCTTTTTTTTGGTTTACATTTTTGTGTTTGCTATCCACCAACAATGAAATTTTAATAAAGCACGCGGCGTATCAAAGCTTAAGGACAATGAATGGCATTTGAATTGTCCTATGGAGGGACTGGTGGTTGTGCAGGGCATGTGGAGGGTATAGCTTAGCTCTGATAGATATTTTTAAACACGTCACGAACACAAAATAAAATATTAATCTAGCTTTGTTATCTGTGCAACAAAAATCTTGTTCAAAAGAAAAAATTTCAAAACA